CAGTTACCTGTATGTAAACTAAGGTGGTTGAACCAGATGATCTATTTGGTCTTATATAACTCTAAGATTTTTATTAAATCTGTACTATATTCTCTATTCTATCCATACGCTGAATGACCTTGACTTGGCCATTTAACTTATGTTGCCTCATTTTCCACTCATCTCTAAAAAAGTACTGATCACCTCTACCAAACCTTGGAATACACAAATGGGAGTCAGTCATTTCAGGCTCCATGATTAAAAGTTATTTACTTATATTTCCACCTGAATCAAGTTAAAGTTTCACCATTCTCACCTCAATCCTTGAGATCAAAATCAAGCTAATGCCCTTAAAATAAATACCAAGTGTAGAGTTCCGCTCTCACCATTTAGTTAACCGAAATTGCTAAATTGCATTACTCTTGAAGTGTACAAAGGTAAACATAAAATTATTCACTCCTAATTTCTTTGCAACCAAAGGTTCTGTACTGTCATTCCATATGTGGTAGTTAAGGTTATGTGTCCATTTAGGTGGATCATGATTCTGAGTGGTTTAAGCAGTTGTGATGTGGTTATTCTCATTTGTGGTATTTTTCTGTTAGAGCAGCAGTAGGTAACCAAAGCAGAATTTGGTACTGAGAGTGGGGTTCTTCTCTGACAGATACCTAAAATGTGGAAACAGAATTGGAGTGTGTCCTTGAACTGAGACCCTGGCAGAGAGACCCTGGCAGCAGCTAAGCCAAGAGACTGACATGAGAGACAGCAGCAGCAGAGCTGAGAAACCAATATGAGACAGTGACAGTCTCACTAGCTCATGTAGTGAGAAAGCTGAATATCTTTTGGGCAGGAAGATTCCTGGCAGAGTGGGTTGCCTTTGGGTATTAATTGGTAGAAGCCAAGAGACCAAGGAAATGGGAAGCACAGCTGCCTCAGCCTCAAAGGGTAGGACATGGCCTCTGGGGATGGAACCTCCACAGCCCCTGAGGTTTCAAAGAGTTAGACCTTCACAAACTTGGTTCTGGAGTGTGGGCCTGCTCGTTCATGTGGGCCAGTAGAATGGGGCCATAGCCACTGCCCAAAAGTGTGGGGGAAGGGCTGCGATGCCCAAGAGGGAGAGGAAGAGGTCATGCAAGGCCAAGGGGGTGAGGTCACCAGTCAGATGAACTAGGGGACTGGAGCCATCCAATGAAGGAGATCTGTACAGGTACCACCCAATGAAGATTGTACAGGTGCCAAGTTGGCAAGGGGTGGAATTGTGGAAGTTAAGGTTATGTGTCAACTTTGCTGGGCCTGGTTTT